TGGAGGAATTCAAAGTATTTATTTGAGGCCAAATGAAAGGAGCAGGAAGGGGAAATCTGGGGGGAGGCAGAATACAGTTTAGGGCAATCAGACCAGATTACAGAGCTTTCTCCAAAACACTTCCAAGTTTCAAGAAAAGCTAGGATACCAGATTTCTTCTTCTCATACAGCTACTGACAACTTAATCCAGGATGAGCAACAAGGTTCATTTAACAGTTACTTGCTAGAACTGTCAATATTTCCTATGCGATTATAAAGTGCTGATGTTCCCTATAGGCAGTTATCAACACCTACTGAAATACAAAGTCTTCATTGCATGTTTTCACAAACTCAAGATTCCCTTCCTGTCATATTGCAATCACATATGTCTCCAGTGTGACACTGCCCCACCTTCTGCTTGCAGTTTAAAACCGAGAGCAAAACCTCTGAGGTGGTTCTGTGAGGGTCTCAGTTCTGTGGTCACTGTGCTCCCACAAAGACAGCTTTGCAAGGCAAGTATCTGAGCCTTAATGTCAGAATTTTCTCAGCTGTGGTGCTGGACATTCTGGAAAATGGTGATTTATCCCAGAAACCCTGGTTCCTTGACTAATCTTAACTAGAGCGTTGCTAAGGCAATGCTATCAGGAGTGTGCTCTTCTGAACTGATTTTGCAGTATGCTTTTCAGTATTTGCATACTAAAGCCATTATCTTTGTTCTTGCAGAGAGGGTGAGAGAGAAAGGAATAGTTTTCTTTCTGCTTATATAGGAAATCATGCTAAGCAGAAAGCATGTATTTTACCAAAACTCATTTAATGAAAAAATGCAATCAAATGAAAGCAGCATGTTTAAAAGAAGTAAGTAAAATTCACATCATGTTATACCTTAGAGAGAAGGCATTCCTTCTGTAATTATTTCTGAAGTACTGTATGACACTTGCATTATTCATTGGGACATAAAGAAAATTACTGACCAAACAGTTTTCACTGTTGAAACTCCCTTGTGCTTTTCACCATTTAGGTTATTTTTAATCTGCCCTCAGTACACAAAAATGATTTTCTAAACCCTGGCTGTAACAAACTGTGTGTTCAAGGTATTGATTCTGCATTTACTGCTACATGACACCTATATGATTTTTTTGTATTAAAAAAAAAAGGATTATCTCACATCAGTATAAGGACTTCAGAAAGATAACTGTATATTTAAATGGTTTAGTGGTGTTTTCAATGGCAAGAAATCATTCATCAATACAATTCTAATTCTAAATCAAAAATAGTGCAAGCCATCTGCAACAATTGCTGCAATTTATCAACACAGAAAATCCCCTGTGCCTCCTTGTTCATCACTACAGAATTTGCATTTGTATTCTACTCTTTCATTCAGGTTTTTATAGCTTGCTAACTACCAGGGTCCCTGATGACTAATCTTTTTTTTTATTTTCCCTGTAGCGCTTGATATCAAGAAAATATTTTATGCTACCTATCTCTAAATGGGTTGAATTACTGTACAGATGTGTTTTTCTCCTTCTATTCACTATACCAGGACCTTAAATGACTAGCTGAGTGAGATAAATCTCTTTAGTATCTTTGAGATAACTCCTCTTTTAAACACAGATTAAATTGTTTAGTAAATTAAGAATTATTAGAGGTTCTTCTAATAAGTCTAACTGTATAATTCTAAGTTCATTGGGAACACAGGTTAAAAATACTTGAAAATTATATTTAATTTTCTAAATATGTTGCTCAAAACAAAATCTACTATCTACTGTTGTCACATTATGAAATTGTATGATCTTGCTGAAAGAATCACTTAGTGATGTTTCCACAGAGCTTCATAAAATCACAGAATCAACTTTTAAGATCATCAAGTCCAACCATTAATCCAGCACTGTCAAGTCCACCACTAAACCATGTCCCCAAGTGCCACATCTGTAGGGATGGTGACTCAACCACTTCCCTGGACAGTCTGTTCCAGTGCTTGTCAACATCTCTGGTGAAGGGGTTTTTTTTCTATGCAATACACATAGGAAATATATTTTCATATAGGAATATATTCCTATTCATATGCAACTGCAAGTTGAAAGCTAAATATTAGAGTGTACTTTTGATTTTTACAGAGATATACACTATGTTTTATATACCCACCCTTTACATTTTTACTTTGAGCAAATGTATAATGATGACTGGCTGAAAACTCTTTGTTTTTCTACTCACTCACCAGATCTCTCTTTTATTGTCTTCTGCGAAAAAGCTAAATATTTCCCCCCAGTCCCCTGAAAAACTCTCAAAAATACAAGAAGGATTTTAACAAACCTACATGCTTAAACACCACAAAATTTTCTGTGTATTTTTACCAATGTTTTACCTCCTAAAAATATATTAAAAAAGAAAAAGCAGCTCTACCTTCCCCAAGAGTATCTGTAAATATACACTGACTATTCTGATAGCTTCGGTAAACAAACAAACAAACAAACAAAAAACTAAAAAAAAAACCCAAAACCAAAAACAAACAAAAAAAAACCAAAAAGCAAGAACCTAGAAAACAAACAAACCAGCAAAACCCACAAAATACATCTATTTTCTTCTGCTCTTTCCGTCTCCCAAAAATCAAAACAAGATAAAAATTGAACATTTCACTAAATCCTTAAGCACTCTTCTTTCCTTTCCGGCTAGCAGACAGGAGAATGTATTAACATTCAGCTGGAAGACTGAAGGAAGGACCTGAAACTGCAGAAGAAAAAGCCATGGCATGGCATGCGGGCTCCAGGCTTGCCCAGACTTCACAAAGTAAGCCTAGGACTCTTCATCCTGTCTTCTAGACTCCTGGCAAGTATGAACCTTTCAGCTGTGTTGGCATTCTTTCCTTTATGGGAACAGTAATCAAACCTCTCTGAACCATAACTCACTATAACTGGTGAGGAGGCAATGCCGTTTTTAGTACGGATTAGAAATTTACTGGACTGGTGCAGCCCAGCTTCCAGTAAAGGAGATTATCTCACTGGTAATGTCTCCTGGAGTGCTTGGCAAGGTGTAATTGGATTGGTTAAGAGAGTACTAGCAATTGGATGGAAATAAACACTTCTGATACTGTAAGCATGCACGTCAATCTGTGCTTTACAGGCTGACAGGAATAACATTGTCTGAAACCGTAAATTTTCTAGATCAATATTCTGTCTTCAAGACTTTTCTTCAAACTCAGTTTTATTTTTAAACCAATTCAGTGAAACAGAAAAGTGAGATGTGAAAGATTTTGTTCTCTTTTTAATTGGCTGTTTAGAATAAAATATGTCCTGCCCACCTAGAAAACACCATGGTCTTAGCACAACACTAAAACTGGCAAAAATGTTTACTGTCTGAAAGCCATGGATCAGATCAGAAAAAGCAGTTAATTATTTACACCCTGCTTACAACAGATAATCATTCCCACTAATAGAGCATGCAGCCTCCTCTAGGCTCAGTAAACTCCCATTAATCTTCAGAATCCAAAGCACAAAAAAAGTCAGATGGTAACACTTCTGTAAGCATAAGAAACAGGAATAAAAATCCTAAGAGCTCTGCATCATAATGTTCATTATCCCTGCCTATGTTAAAAGGCATTATCACATCTTTATCTACCTTCCCTATTTCTAAAAGTGGGTAAGAAGAAGAAAAGGCGTCAATGATTTCAGCAGATGGCAGATTAAGGAAAAAGTCATTCTGAATCTAAAATGATTTGCACTTCATTTTCCACTTTAGAAAACAAAATGCCCAAAACATTTGCTGGTTTTTTCTTGCTGTTTTTATCTCAAGATTGCTTTCTTGAAATACAGGGCATGAAGTATGAGTGATAAGGAATAAAATTCAAAAAATTAAAACAAATATTCCCTTTATTGATGCAAAAATTCACTGTACAATGAGGAATTTTCCAGTGACTATACTATGCAAAATTTTACTGCAACTATTCATCTATGTTATCACAGTTGATACAAAATTGGGAGTACTGACTGATACAAGAGAGGATAGTGTTGCCGTTTAGAGGGGCCTCAACAGGCTGCAAAAATAGGCAGAGAGGAATCATCTAAAGTGGGAAATGCAAAGTCCTGGCCTGGGGGAGAAGTATCCTAGGCAGCAGTATATGCTGGGGTGACTGCCTAGGAAGTAGCTTGGGAGAGAAACACCTTGGGGTCCTGATGAAGAAGGTAACCACAAGAAAGCAATGCTTCTTTCTGCAAAGGTGGCCAATGGCCATCTGGGGTGCATTAGGAAGAACTCTGCCAGCAGGTCAAGGGAGGTAATCCATCCCTTCTCCTTAGCAGTGGTCAGACATATCTGAAGTGCTGGATCCGCTTCTGGACTCCTCAGTACGAGAAAGATTGGACTTCCTGGAACAAGTCCAGTATGGAGCTATGAACATGATTAAGGAACTGCAACATCTGACAGATAAGGAGAGAGAGTTGCCACGGTTCGGCCCAGGGAAGAGAAGGCCTAGGGATCCTTATCAAGGTGCACAAATATGTGATGGGAAGGAATGAAGAAGAGGGAGCCAGGCTCTCCTCAGCGGTGCCCAGTGAGAGGACAAGAGGCGGTAGGCACGAACTGAAACGTGCAAAATTCCATTTGGTCACAACTAAGACTATTTTTTTATTGTGAGAGTGGTCAAACACTAAATGATTCCACGATTTTGTGACCAAGGTTTAACATTTTCCCATCTATTTTTAGAACTACTATTTTTAGTCCAGCGACTCCATCTCACATGCCTTACTGCAGATTCAATCATAAACCCTTTACTCAGTTAAAACTTTTACTACATGATTCTACCCAACATTCAGGTCTTATGTACCTTCTACTTAAGGATTTTATTCTATATTTTATAAATTTATAAGCAACTGCACATCTGAAAAAATACAAACATAAGCAGGACTGACTGCTTTGGCTTCTAGACCAGGTTGCTGCTATTTTTTTGTCATGAAAAAAACAAAGACTACACAAGTTTTTCAATTACACTGTGATTTGTTGTTGAGCCAACTAAATGTCACAGTACTCACCACAGGCATATGATCAAATGTGCGAACAATGGACAATTTATCTACAAATAAGCAGAAAATGTGACCTGTTGATATAATGTCAACATACAAGCAATAATTCTATTGAAAAAGTTATGAATATCCATTTCTACCTGCTGGATTTCCACGAATAAGCTCCACCTTATCTCGAAGGATATTAATTTGCCTTTCCAGCTGTTTATTCAATTCTACTTGTGTCTCATATCTGGTTTTCCATTCATTACCTTAAAAATAGAGAATTATTATATTTCCCAGATTATTTCATGTCATTTTAAGTAAAAGAATTTTTTTAAACTGTTCCTTTTAACTAACTGGAGACTGAGAAAGTTAGTAATCCTCATAACAAGGATCTTTGCATACAAAAGAGCCTGAAAATATAAATCAAGGAAAATTTTCACTGGGCTTACTGTGGCCAGAATATTAACCAACTCATGTTATTTATGTTATTCATAGTTTCATTAATAATTAACAGAAAAAAAGCTAACATGGCTGCATGTAGCATTCCTTAATTTCTGATTTGAAACATCACAGTCATGTTTGAAAAGGGAAAACTTAAATTTCCAAATAAAAATTTGAACCTCTATACTGTAAGGGCTTCCCAAAAGAATAAATTTTTTGTGTTTCCTAATCAATTAGCAAGATCCTGTTGTAATTCGCTTACCTTCATCTTCAATACTGTTAAGTCTTTTTTCCAGTTCTGTTACAGTGTTTCTCAGTTCAAATATTGAGATTTCAAGCATCTGCCTGCGGTATTTAAAGGAGGCAATAAATTTGCTATTGCATTAGTCCTGTTACTGAAATTAGAAAAAACAGATCAAATATATTTTCAGAAGAAGTATCTATTGGACATTCCTATGTAATTACATTATCTTGTCCATTTTTAAATGTTCTTTTTCTATATGGATACTACAGTGCCTTAGAAGCGTTTCTACTTTGTGAATAAGACTGCTTCCATAAAACCCAAGATTGACATTTCCTAAAATAGAATAATTTTCTAACAGATCATCAGAATTAAACAAACGTAGAGAAGACATTTGTGAGGGAACACGATTCAGGATGGAACAGTTCTGGGCGTGGAGAGAAGCATGCAGCAACTGGCAGGACTTTCTCGTGTGGACTTTCCTGTTATTATGTGGTTTCATTGTATTCACACTGCACAGTGCACAGCCTGAACAAGCCCAGGCTTGCCATGAGTTTGCCCCCACTCCTCCCCCTTTTGCTGGTGTCCCTATGCTGGTTTGTCCCTCTGCTTGTTGGTCTCATGCTCCGCCCTATGTTCTGGCCGGTTCCGCTCCTGAGCGGATAGAAAGAGAGTGGGCACTCCTGAATAAAGAACTCTGCTTGCATCCTTCCTCGTGTCCCGTCCCCTCTTCGTGTCCCGTCCCTTCTTCGGACCGCGACAGACATTGGCCTTAATTTTTCATCTAAAAGAAAATGAACATGTTTTTTAAAACAAGAATATGCCTGAGAGATGTGCTATTTGAAGTTGTGAATTAATACTTCATTTTGACTCATTGTTCGATGATTAACAGTCATTTTCTAAATTGTACCCATAACAAAACCAATCAAAACAAACCATGTTTTATGACTATCAGAAAAGAAAGCCAGTAATTAAAGTGAGTGTTAAGAAATACACAGTAGCTAAAGCCACAATTCTTTTTCAGTATCTTAATACTGAAGGAAAAAATACTTTTGCCCATTGATTAATTCTGTATATGGGTCAGCCAGGCAGTGAAAGGTACCATGAAAACCAGGCTCTTTCTATCTTGGAAGGTATGACCAGAAGCAGAAGGTAGCAGAGGACTTTGATGCATCAGATGTGCTGGGTGACTCTTATCCTTCAAAGTGGCAAGATGGGAGTTTAGTGTGTTACAATGCATCATATGATCTTGATCACGTCAAGAGGAAATTACTGCTAAGTTGTTGACCATATTTTTGCCAACAGCCTAGTTCTTTGAGGAGATGCCTATGGAGAAATGCTCCTGCCTGTGAGATCTCAGACCACATCAGGAGGAGTGCAAGCAAAACACAACACATCAAAATGCAAAAGCAATTTGTGGTTTTGTTCTTTAAAGTTAAATTTGGAAGACCAAGATTTCAAAAAGCAACCAATGGTTCCTGGGTGCCTCAATGTTTCAGAGCCCAGAGACAGTCCAAAAGAACTGAGAACAAAACTCTGCAAATAAAGCCCTTTTGAAAATGCTCTACAATATCAATATGATGACTGACATCTTCGAAACCCTAGCCTAGTTCATTAAAACATGCAACAGAGAAAATTATTGTGCTTTATATTTGTTTCATGAGGGGAGCGTTTTTTTTAAAGCAGAGCTTCCATTGCCAACATAGATCTTCATTTTCCTAATAGTTCATGAGCAATGCTCTTCAAGAAAGTTACCTAGCCTATGAGAAATCAGAGCTCTGATAACAGAGATGATGACTGAGAAAAAGTATCACCTCTTGCACTCCTTGCACCAACCTTCAGTAGATGACACTTTTTCATAGCTTGAAACAACAGATTTCAACTGGAAACAAATCAATTGATCATAAGGAATTGAAGAGCTATGCTTGGAATACGGACGGCTGAAGAGCTGAAATAGTAAAGAAATGTAAAGAAGAGTAATTTAAGGTAATTCAAGTATGATTTCAGTGAAAGAAACACCCTGTAGAACAGTAAGACAGACATCTTGAATGTGGCAAGGAAGAGCTGGGTCTTCCAAGCCCTCCTTGCTCCACTGCTCTTTTTGCCCCTAGCAACATTAAATTAGAGAGGAAAAGAAATAATGATAGCATTGGTAACTTGCTGGAGACAAAAAAGGATGTCCTTTTGGATGAAACCCAGCCAAAGACAGCCTTGAAACATCAGTCAAAAAGCTTAGATGCAGGGAAACCAAAGGAAATCTGATTGCTGCTGCCTGTTTGCTCTCACTCCAAATAAAACAGGCAGATGGCTAGGAAGAAGAAAGATAAAATCTTACTACATTGCTGCTATCATTCTGACACAAATAGATAAGGTTTCTGCAAAGCATATTCTATCAACCTCTCAGAATTTGGAAAAGAGGAAATCGTGATGACAGTGAGTGCTAAAATTAAATTTTTTGAAGGAAATAACACTGAAAATTAGAAACATTTAAAGCTGTAACCAGAGCTGAGCTGTACAAAAATGAAATTGTTTTTGCTTTTCAAAGAAATCTTAACTAAGTGCTCAGATGGATGCAGAGGGATAACACATGAAGAAAGAGTTCTTTAAATCCAATGTTTTCAGTTTTTAATTTCTGTTAATTCCAAGACTATATACAATATAGATTTTATTATTCTTTCTGCACCATTAGCAAAACTGCAAGCCAAATTACAATTATATTTTGTCCTGATGAATATATCTACAGAAATGATAAATTGTCAGGTGTCACACTGTAATTGCTACACTGACAGAAAGTCTTATTTCCATTTGGCAACAGAAACCCATTTTAAAAAACTAATTGTTATTAAACATTTAATACTCCAATAGCACTCAGAATGCATCCAGGGTGCAATCTTTCCATTTTAGTCAATGTATATGCAGTAAAATATAATCCCTTCTCTGGCAGACAAAGAATGTAGAAATACACCACTTTGACCAACTCAGTAAATATTTCAGCTTTTTAATGTATCAGAGTATTTTGCATTTCTGGAGTTATTTCTAATTGTGATAGGAAGTGGTGGTCATGCCAAGTATCTGTTAGTGTGAATTTAATGCAGCTGTGTACAGCTGCCTGCCCGCCCAGAGACTTGATCTGTACTTAGAGGGACTGCGCTGTGATTTTACCTGCAAACTTATGTGTTAAACATAATGAGACATATTCAAGGCCTATAAATCTTTTCCATGTCAATGGACAATTTATAGTCATCACAGCAGAAAGCCATAAATCCTGAAAGCTCACATTTAAGTCATCAGGGGAACTTAACAACATCCTTGCATACTAAGCGTAACAAGAAAGCTCTTGTGAGAAAAGGAGAAGGAAAGTGCAGTTCAGATAAGCAGGCTCTGATTGAAACTACAAAAGAGAAAAAAATGCTAAGTTTCTTTTTAAGCCAGTGTACAGGTGCTATTTTACTTGACAATGACAGCCACTTAGGATGAAAGCCATTTCCCTGCACGTTTTGCTACCCAGACTCGGATATCTGGTACATGTATCAGGCAAAAGGCTGCCTGAAGCAATTTTCTATAGTTGAGAGAGAAACCAGTGAAACATTACAGGAGAAGCTCAGGGCAAGTCATCAGTTCTAGAGCATCAGCTCAATAATCTGGCAGACCTTTATGGAGTCCTGTAGAAGACAAAATGCATAGATGCCTTCAGAATCTATGAACAAAGCAGAAACAATATTGCACAGTGCAGAGGCACCACATGGAAGAGCACATACAGTATTGAAAGCTACGGACTTGTGACACTTGCAGTCAGCAGTGTGCTGGGAAAATGCTGCAGCTTTCCTGGCAAGAAAAGCCACAGAAAATGAAATCTCATAAGCTGAATTAACACACAATTCCATCAATATTAGTAAGTAGCTGCCATGCATAAATATATGTCTTTAAGACCTCTTTGTCTGTTAAGGATACTGCAGTATTTTGTGCCTTTTCTCTCTCTCTCTCTCTCTCTGAAACATTTGTCATGACATTTCCCAATCAAAACGTGTACTGAATCTTGATTACAACAATTCAGAGTCATATTTGACCTGACTTCCACTAGAGTCAGAAAAGATTTTGAAAGATTTCACACTAGATCCACAATCATTGAGAATCAGTAGGTACTTTGGAGACAGACCCCTTACACACATGGATGATTCAATTTATTCTGTGAAGAAAAAAATCTCCTCGTGACTGTTAAATGAGAGTGGTAGATGGGCTGTTAGCAAACTGCTTAAATGGCACAATAATCAAAGAAGCCAGTAAAAAGACAACAGGTGTGAGATGGCTGTGAAGGAATGGAGACGTCCATTTGCAAGCCACTCATCCTCAGCTCGCTTTATACCCAAGCGAAAAAAACTGGCACCTGCTAGGGTGTGAGTCATGTCATGCTAGAACAGCCAGGCAAAGTAGGTCAGATGAATCACACCTTCCAAAAGCCTTTCTGTATTCACGGACTATACATGGCACCAGTTTAACAAGCCTGGTCATTGGCAATTATGTTGAATAAATAATTCCTGTGAAATTGGCAATAATGGTATTGTCTCTTTGTACACACGAGAAATACACAGGAAACAGCTGTAGAATCCACCTGGAGCACGTTTTACCGTCATGCCATCACTGTTAAGGATTTTATTAAATATATATTTTGCTTCCATCAGTAAATAAGTCACCACAACTTGACCTGAACTTTGGGCACAGTCTTGCAGAAGATCCTCAGGGATATTAGCAAGAACTTAAGGTACATAAATAATCCAGGTTTTCATTAATTAAAAAAAAAAATACAAATTCAAGCAGTGAAACAAAGCCAATACAATTCTACTTTTTACCTGAACACCAATAATATCAGGATCATGTGTCAGGTAAAAAGAACTGGTACATGCAGAGGATAACTGATATATTACACTGACACACTACTAAGTCAGGGAACTTACTGAAATGAAATTTGCTTACACAGTGGTGCAAGTATGTCCAAAGTCCTTTTTGTGCCATTTTGAACACAGAAGGTGCCTATAACCATTCTGACTTTGTTACTATTGGTTTCCCCCTTTCCATTTGTGAATAAACCTTTTATAAAGTCCACAACTGCGGGACTAGTTTGAAGAGATCTGCAGCTCAGACACTGAAAGAAACACTGTTCAGGGGAAAAATCAGTATGAACAGAATGCTTGAAAATAGTAAGGAAATGTAAATATCAAGGGTCTGAATTAAGGCTGCATGGGAGCTTCTGACATTTCCTAAGTTTTAATTTACTAACACTCAAAAGGCAATCGTGCTGTTTAACATAGGGGAAAAATGTATAACTTCCTAAGCAAACTGGGGAAAAACCAACCTAGAATGCCATGGCATGAGCATCGACAATCCTCACAGCACTGAAACATTTGCTGCTTAAGTAAGGGGACTGACTGCTAACAGTAACAAGTCCTCACCTCTGCAAACTGCACTACAGAGATGCTGTACATCCCTATAAATAGCAGAGCTATTTACTGACAGCAGAGAGGGGTGAAAATCCAGCTTTCCAAGCTTTCCAGTTTTACTCAAAACCATGGAAAAAAGAGTGCATAAAGAGCACCTCATTGTCCATTTTATTCATCTTCCGCCAACGAGGCGTGCACCCATGGGAGGGCTCCTCTGTTCTTCCTCCAACATGGCTTCCAATCACAGTGTACTGGTTTTGCCTTGGATCCATTTAATTCTCTGGTATGGGACTGTGTTTTGGATTTGTGATGAAAAGAGTGTTGATAACACAGGGATGTTTTAGTTACTGCTGAACAGCGTTTACACTGTGTTAAAGACTTTTCTGCTTCTCACACCAGCCCACAAGCAAATGGGCTGGGGGAACACAAGAAGGTGGGAAGCAACACATACGGGGCAGCTGATCCCAACTGACCCAAGGGATATTCTACACCATGTAATGTCATCTTTGGAAATAAAAACTGGGGTGGTGGGGCTTTGTGGGGCTGCCTTGCTTTGGAAAAGGTATTAGCCCGCTGATGGTGAGCACCTCGGAGGTTTTTAATCATTTACTATTCTTTGGTTTCTTTTTTATCTTTTCTTTTGCCTTTTTCTCAACCTACAGATTTTCTCACCTTTACCCTTCCGATTCAATCCCCCATCCCACTGGGAGGGGAGCGAGCGAGGGATGTAGCGTTCAGCTGCCTGCTGCGGTTAACTGCAGCTGGTCCTATTTTCCTTTTCGGCTGATATTACTTATCCTGCTCCTTCAGGCTCCTTGTCCCACCCCCAGCCCTCGGGCCAGCCCTTCCTATTGCGCACCAGCCGTAGGCGCGGTCCCACCGCAGCCGTGCCAGGCAGACCCCCGGTCCCCCAGCCAGCTCCCCGCACACCGCAGCGCCCAGAGCACCCGCCCGCGGCAGAAGCCGCCATTTTGCCGCAAGGAGGCGGCGGGCGGCCCCGCACGGGCGGTGCTGCGGAGCGGCTCGCGGGGCCGCTGTGATGCGGCCTCGCCCCGTTCCCCGCCCGCACTCACTTCTTCTGCCTCTCCCGCCCCAGCTCCAGCGCCAGGCGGTCGGGCTTTGCCGCCTGCCGCTCGCCGCCTTCCCACATTGCGGCCGCCGGTGCCCGCCCCGCCCGCAGCCTCCGTGTCGGCCGGCGTTGCGCGGGGCGACGGCTGCGAGCGCCCGGCGGAGCCTGAGGGAGCGGCGCGGTGGGGCCAGAGGCGAGCGGGAGGGCGGAAGTGCTGACTCTCGGCTCGGGCACTCCTTTCTCCGCAGCCCATGTGGCTCTCCCTCTGCTCAGGGCGAGACAGGGCCGGGAGCGACCGGCAGCCGGTGTCATCTTCACCTGCTCCGGCCCCGGCGTGCGCTGCCGCGTCCCGTTTGCTCGCGTGTGCAGCGGCGCTCGCCCGCCGCTGCCGGGACGGCCCCGCGTATGGCGGCGCTTCTCTGCCCTCCGACCAGCGAACCCCCCGGCACGTGGCTCGGGCAGCACCAGAAATTGATGGGAAAAACACGAAACAGCTTTGGCCCAGTTACAGAGGCCATGTAGGGCGAACTGTTGTGCCGAACTTTCCATAATTTGGGGAAACATGGTTGTGTGCCGGTTGTTTTAAAAACACTTACTCTGGATGGAAAGTAGCACGGTTTTAAATAAACGCTGTGGCCCACGTGTGAAGTCAGGCACAGTGTGGCAGAGCCCGGTTTTAGGACGTGCCTAGTCTGTATTTAGCACCCTCAGTAATTGTGATCTGTGTTGTTGCACAAACTGGTTTGGCAGACCCTAGCTTGAGACAGAAAAGCTTGGAATAATCAGGTCTTAACACTGATCAAGTCAATGGAGTTAGTTAGTCAATATATAATGGCAAATATTTTATCTCTTACCTTGGTCTGGATTCATACTTTAAAAATGTTTGATGTTTCATTTTTCAAACAAGACATTTTAGATCAGTTCAGGGCATTCTCAAGGTAAAGATTTCTGAGTTAATCTATCAGTTTTAATGCTGCAAGAGTGGTATCACCTCTGTCAGGTTCTTCATGCTACCTTCTCCCATCTGCTTCAGTGCCAGCTCTTGACATTTATGCAACTCTCCAATGAGCCAGTACAGCTCCTGAAACCCTGAAAACTTACATCAGGGAAAATGTTTAATGTTTGTAGCTTCTGTTGGTTGATGAGCTGAAAAGGCTCGCCAGCTGCACAGAAAAGCACTGGACTTTATGCAAGGGACAGGGTTAAAAGTGGGAGTGATTAGTGCACTCTTAGATCAACAGATAGTGAACTATCTGTTCACTTTCTCAGGAAGGAGATGGACTTTCATTTTCCTTTACTGATATACTATGAAAAAATGAAGGGTGTAGTTTCTCAGTTCACTAAGTTTGTTGCATGAGTAGTGAGCCAAATGCAATAGCCCTACCACTTGTTGGGTAACAGAGGCACTGCTTTTAAAATTTAAAACATGGGTTATGTATCACCATTACTTTAACATAGCATAAATCAGTACTGCCATCCAAAAGCCAGCCCTGAAATGTTGTGAATTGTAATCCTAAAGTGGTAGTGTGTGACACTGGAGTGGGCCAATCAACACCTCACTGATACTGTGAGGCACTAATCCAGCAGGATCTAATGTCTGGGAGTAGAACAGTAGGAATGGAGAGTGGGAAGCTTGATTCTAAGAAGAAAAAGTCATTGTAATTTCACTTGTCTGATATATATTAGAGCAGAATTTGAGTCTCAAGTTATAACTGATGCTATCAGCTAATCAGTGAATTATCACAAGGTGTGGATTGAATTCAAAATTTTCTGAAATAATTTAATCAAGAAACAAATTGAAGAATAGTTCTGCACTGTAACTGCATTTAAATTTAGCTGCTCATTTTGCATTCATGTTTTACTGAGTGCTACCTTTTTAAGATTCATATTGACAACACATTTCATACCAAACCAGTAATTTAAGTAATGACTTGGACCTACATTAGCATTCATAACTAACTCAGGATACTGAATCTTAGCAGCAAAGGTGCTAATCAGTAACCATTTTTCTTGTTACCAGTTTTTGTGAACAACTGCTTCAAGATTAATTTAACCAGCCTGAAGGATTGTTCTCCACAAGGAGGGCACATTCGTAGATCTCAGAAAGAGCCCTGGAATCAGAAGGAAGTCTGATAACAGAGGGCACAGGGGAACTGAGAGCTCTTTCCCAATCACAGTGTATCTCTCCGCTCCAGGAGACTTTCATTTGACCTCCTGTTCAGGATACTTTCAGGTCTCAGCCTCAACTCAGGGATTACCAGGTGTCTTAACTAGGTAAGCTCTCAGGAACTATGTCACCATGCACATAAAGATGTGCCCAGACCATACCAGTTGGGTTGGTACAGGACAGCAGGTCTAGCAGTGTGCTTCGCCTGCTGGTTTGGAAACTACAGTGGGAGAAAAGCAACAGTTTCTTGTGAACTGAGGTGTTTGTAAAACTTCAAACCTTCAACATTTTCAACAATCACAGCAGTAACATAGTGACACTTGCAACACATGAGAATTTTCCTCCATTTTTTTATTCCAAATAAACCTGTTAAAATAGATATATGGCTACCTACAAAGGTATTTTTATTGTTTTAAAGCTTATAATGTTATTTTTGAGATTAAAATGTTTAGTAAGAAAAGTTAGGAAACTTGGTCACAACACAATGTGTTTTGAAAGCAGAATTTTATACTTAAATATGTAACTTCATATTATATGAAGGCAATAAACTGCAAGAGTTACTTAAAAGCAAGGCAGACCAGTTGCTGAAGACAAGCATTTGGATTATGACATAAATTACAAAGAAATAGTTATTTCTGTAGCACCAGTAACTAAAGTATGATGACTGGCTGTGTGGGCAAGGAAAAACTTGTGGATATTGTGTATTTTGACTTTACCAAGGACTTTGATATAGTCTCCCACAGTACCTTTATAGCCAAATTGGTCAGCTATAGATTGGAAAACTGGGTAATAAGACTGATGGAAAATTGACTGGGCCATCAGGCTTGAAGTGTGGTGATCAGCAGTAGGACTGCTCGACTCAGGGATCAGTATCTGAGCCAATACCCTTAATTCCTCATTAACAGCCTGGAAGACTGATGTGGTGGTTTGGAAAAAAACCTTTCCCCCTGGGGCTGGTGATAGTCTCCTCCAGAGGTGGTGTTTTTGATACTGGGCTCATTAAAAACTTAATGTGCTCTGCGGAAATTACATACTCGCAGAATCGGAAGAGAAGAGGTTAATTTTAACTGCATAGCTGGAAGAGAGACAGCCATGAGTTGAGAAGCCACATATTAAACGGCGGGCCGGGGGTGGGGTAGGGGGTGTTTCCCCCGGTCCTGACCGTTGGGGCCGGGGGCTTCTTTCCTTTCCCGGCCCTAACTCGGTGGGACCTGGCATGGCTTTGTAGCTGGGCCAGGATGCTGAGTTAACACTGCGCCCCCACACACACACACTGCCAGGGGGAGAAAAACGGCAGCGTGGTGCCCGATCGGCCAGACAGAGGGCTGCAGTCGGTGGGCAGACGGGGCGCTGGAGCAGAGCCAGCACAAGTTGAGGGGTGCAGGAGTGGGCCAGGCTGATTAGCCATGATCCTTGGAGAGGCAGCTGCAGCACACAGCCACGGAGTGGCCCGGGACAAGTCGAAGCGGCAGCTAGAACCCTGAGGCGGAGGCAGCCACGAAGCAAACCTCTGCAGAGGAGTAGCCCGAGCTCCCGCAGCAGCTCGAAGCAGAAAGGCCCCCTGCGAAGGGGCAGCAGGAACAGAACAAAACAGACGGAGAGAGAGGTCTGCTGGAACGTTTTCGGGGTAAGAACTGAACCGAAAAAAAACCCAAAAAACCATTCTGACCCAGGGAGCTTGATCCCCGGGGATAGGGACCCCCCACGGAATGGAGGATAAAGACTTTAAGCTTTAACTCCCTACACTCCATGGTATCGACCATGGTGAGCGAGTAGGGGTGAAAGAGAGACCCCCTGCATTCTCATGAAGAGAGATTTTCCAGATATAACAAATCAAAACGACTGCCTTAAAGATAAGAGACACTTCCAAGTGCCGCAGAAATTAATTTGGAAGAGCTGTGGCCTGAAAGTGAAAAGAAGACTTCTTCTTTCTTTCTGGACTTTTTTTTGAAGGAAAGGAGAGACGGTCTATGTATATATATATTGTTTCACCATAGAAGAGATAGTTAAAATTGTTATATATATGTATATATGTGTATTATTTATTAAGTAATAAATGGTAATATAATTCCCTTCCCCCATACTGAGTTGTGCCTGTCTGAAAACTTCTCTACACACATTAGAACAAATTGTAGAAAAACTTTTGAAATTAGCTTTTTGAATTTTTTTTTTCCAAACCACCACAACTGAGCACCTTCTCAGCAAGTTTGCTGCTGCTGCTGAATTGAGAGGAGTAGTTAGTATGCAGGGAGGCAGGGCTACCATTCACAGCAGGGTGTACAGCCTGGAAAAACAGGCTGCTGAAAGGAACCTAAGGAAATTCAACAAAAAACAAATGTGAAGCCCAATATCTGGGATGGGAAAAACCCATGGATCAGTACAGGCTGGAGGCAGTAACCAGAATGCAGCTTCATAGGAAAACACAGGGGTCTCTGGTGAACAAGCTGCCATGAGCCAGCAAGACCTTGCAGCAAACAAGGCCAAGCCTGGGCTACCTCAGCAAGGGCTTGGCCAAGAGCCTGGGGAGATGGTTCTTCCACTCTGTTCAGCACTTACGGGACCACATGCTGGAGTGCTTAGCTTTGAACTCCCAAGGGTTGCCTTAAGTCAGGAACATAGGCACACGTGGCCTATGTTCAGTCTGGAGAAGAGATGGCATAAGGAGATCTTAGTGCTGTAAACAGCTATGTAAGAGGAAAGTGTAAAGAAGACTGAAAAGTCAGACTTTCCTCCAGTGTGCATTATGGAAGGATATGCGGCAATGCACCAAAACGCATATGAAAATCTTTGGCTTAGTATAAGGGAGAAATATTTACCTTTACCAGAGTCAAGCTGGGCAAAGGTTGCCCAGAGGGGCCATAAAGTCTTCACTGTTGGAGATAATCAAAATGTGAGCAGAATTGGCAGAATACTGTGCTCCAGCTGGACCTGTTTTGCAAAGAAGGGTGGATTACAGACCTCTGGAGTCCCTTCCAACACCATTCTGTGGTAAGCTGGTCAGCATGTTTTAGTGGAAGGTACTTTTACCAATTCTTTTTAAAGGATTAAGATTCAGTCAAGGAACATTAAGAAATAAGCTGTTGTAAATTGGTTTTAAACCAGCATTAAACAGACCAACCCACTCTTGGAATCGAGGGCAATCTATTCAAATACAAGGGTTTAGACTTGAGGTAAAAACAGTGGTTTATACCTACAGAATGCTGAAAATGCCACAGACAGCAGTAGCTTAGAATGACTTGAAGGTCATTAAAAGTAATCTTCCCAAGACAAGATTCGACATCAATATTATAGCAGAAAAGACTTTGAATAAATTTGGAAATAGGAATACATTAGGAATAGGGTAGTAGTTCATGCAGTACACAGTAAGGAGTCTTATAAGACTTCTAGGATTGCCATA